GACGGAGCGGTTCTGATGGCGCTGCCATGGCGCACTCTGCCAAGCCGGATGCATACTGGTGAGTACAGACACAACACCCCACAGATAGCAGAGCTTGGCATTCATTAAGGTCCATCTGTCTGCTTTAGACCAAAAACATTATCTACTCTATCATTCCTCTCAAAAGTGGACGATGGCAGTGAGAAGAAAGACGAAGGAGGGTGTTTGAGAGCAATGGACAAGAAGCAGGGAAGCTTAAGGAAATACAGCTAATATATTCTTTATAATCACATTAAAATGATGGAATAAATTTATCATCTTACTATAAAATACCTGCACCTAAACCCCTTTAGAAAAGGTTAAAAATAGATCTTAAGAAAGTTGTGACAGGAAAATGGATTGAAATGCGTGCAGAGTTGGGGGGTGGGCACAAATGAGAGCAGTGTGCTGGGCTCAGGAGGCTGGACTGGGTTTCCACAAATGGAGATTAGTGCTCCAGGCCACTGTCTGGCCAGGCTGCTAGCATGCTCACTTTGTTCTCGGCAATGACAGTTTAAATCGGGGGGGCAGTGCACATGGTCCTCCACGTTCCCAGTGCCTATGTGCTTTCTACGAGCTGATTTTCTTCTAGATCCCTATAATGCCCTGTTCTTCTGTACTGGTTTGTGCTGAAACACTGAAATGGTTTATTTCCGTTTTAAAAAATGGACTAGGGGTCACATCTACAAGAGAAAAAAAGAACAAACTGACACTTAACTTCAGTATAAACTGTTTAAGCAGCTGCCTTCTCTTTCTATCACAACTAGGTCTCTGGGAAAACAGTATGCTGTAGTGAGGGCTTGTTAAGCATCTGTGATAAACTCTCATATAGCCATGGTTACTGCTGTTAAGGGTACCACAGTTTTACCATGTTATTCCTATGGATGGAAGTTATTTAAAAGAAATGCCAGAGAAACTTTTGTGACCATACTTTCACTGTGTGGATCATAGACTTGCATTTGTGCACTGCTGGTCAGCTGGCCTAATAAACTAACAGCAAAATAAGACTCAAAAGACAAATTCAGCTGATTTGAAATCGTAATGACCATGAATAATACAGTTTAATAAGTAGAAACTAAAGGAAACTAACCAGAATTCCTCTAAAAATTTTTTAGGCTACCTAAGCAGATAGCCTGACTAATAAACTGCAAGCGACTCAACAAAAACTACACTAAATCTTTTCCCTCTGGATTCTGTGCAGGAGGTGGGAAACAAAAGGATCTTAAAGAAATTAACATCTCTGTTGGATGATTTCTTCTATCCCATGAATGAAGCTGTGGCAGAACTGCAGAGCTCCTTCAGTGATGCTGCACCCTAAATGCACCATGAAGCGTTATCACAGATCCTTCCTCCCAGCAGCTGTAACACTCTATAACCACCTCCTTTCCCAACAACCTCAATAAGCTGCTATATTCATGCTGATTTTGCACAGCTTCTACCTTAGTTGGTTAATAACATGCTGCTGTCATTTTGTGCATCTCTGATGTTGCTGCCATTTTTAAATATTTATTACTGTAAAAATGTCCATAGCTGGATATTGGTTATTTATTCTCCAGGTGCACAGTATTTATATTGCTAAAACGCTTACAATATAACAGTACAACATTCTTATTTGTTTATTTTTATTACTCTTCACTATTATGTTATCCTTATTCACTTTTCTAAGGTCCAAATTTGTCTAACCATTTTGCATTCTGCTGTAAACACCGGAATTTCCCCATTGTGGGGCAATAAAGGCATTTTCTATTCTATTTCTATTCTACTGTAAGGTTTAACCTCATTAAAATTAGCCCCCTTCACAACATGTGTTTTTTTTTTTTCCATCTAGGAAATAGAAAGGAAAAATAATTGCCGCTTTGTGAGCTGTCCCTACAGTGTTTCCGTCCATACTGAGGGCAGCCAGGCCCTCCGATGAGGGTCATAGTTGAGGTCCTGAAGCCAAATGCTAGCTTTAAATTTTAAAAGTCATCAGTGTTTGTGGCATCCCCACTGCTGACAAGCAAATATTTATCATTCAGCAGAAGAAGTTCAGTGTTTGCCATCTGGGTATTGTTTGGCATGGGTAACAACTTAGCAGAAGATCACTTCCAGCATATGGAGGTAATTCAGTTAGAGTTGGACTTAAGCAGCTGCATGTTTACCCCGGAGCTTTTCATAGAATAGTTCACCCTCTTTAATACTTGGCAAATGTTATTCTGTCGATCATGGGCCACAGACTATCAGACTACAGGCCAAAAAAAAAAAATTACTCTCCAGCACTTCAAGTGGCAGGCAAGCAAAGTGGAACGGGCTGCTCGGGATTTATGCATACACTGCTGCTTTCTGAGTGGAGGTTAGCTAAAGTGCAGCGAGGCTCCGCTGCTGGCTCGGTTTGAGGGCCTTAACGAGAGACTCAAGCGTTGAGTCGGAGCGTTTAGGTAGTGTGTATAGACACACTGGTAAATCCTTTTCTCTTTTTTTTGGGGGGGAGAATGTGTATTTGTATCTGTGTGTGTGCGCACTAGGCTGGGATCAGTTGAATAAATCCACACTTGAAAGAGAAGCTCAATCAAGCTCTTGCACCCATCTCGCTTTCTCTGCTTCTCTCACCTCAATGATGCTTCAATGCTCACAGTTCATTTAGAGTTCAACAGTTCAGGGAACCAAAGGGCAAAGGAGCAAAACTAGGGGCAAAACCGAGCAGGTCTTTGTATTCAGAGCTTCCCTTCAATCATTTTATTTAGTTTTTCTGTCAACATAAAGGAGGATATAAGAAACAAACCCTCATAATGAAGCGGTTTATTTTTTTTAATTGACAAAAGATAATTAGGTTCAAACTTTGGTTGCTTTTCACATTTGCCTGAACTCTATGTGGTGTGAGAAAAACAAAGCTTATCTTCATTCTATTACCAGACATTCAAATTCTGTGAGTGACAAAAACTTCTTTTTTACCAAGAAATTAGGCCCCACAGCATGATACTGCCAACAACATGCTTCCCTGAGAAGCTTTGAAGTTTATTTTTCCCCGCAATAATAATAAACTTTTAGATTCACTGAACACAAAACTGTATCAAACTGTATGACTGCACTATTTTATGAGGTTTATACTCGAAGCTGAATTGTTGAATCCGCTTATACTTAAAAGGTGTTAATATTTTTAACTATTCCCTTTGACTAGAATCCAAACCATTAGTAGGCAAACTGATGAGCATGCTTTAAAAAAACCAAGGAACAATGGTTCTAAAAGTAGAAAATTAGAAAAAGGATTTCATTAGTGTCTGGTTTCTTGCAAAAGGCCTTGAAGCGAAATTCCCAACATCGAAGAAATAAAAAAAAAAGCTTCTTTTTAACCCACCCAGTGGTTCAGGTAATGACTCACAACCATCTTTGATGTACTCGTTAGGACACAAAATGCATTCACAGTAGATTCCTCAGAGTGAAGATGCCATTTTCTATGGTGCCTTTTTAAGGAGTTTTATATTCTGAGGACTGACAGCGATGTAAAAGCTCCACAGAAAAAGCATTAAAAAATGTGCATGGATGGTACATTTAAGATATGGTTCTGTCCCCCAAATTATTCGGCTCACAGATTTATGTTCACATGTGAGTGCATATATTAATAAGAAACTGTCTAAAAGTCTAAATAGCATTAAATAAAGGCACTATGCACAGGGTGATGCAATCCAAGTGCAAGTTGTGGTGAATTAAGACGATTAAAACTTAAGAGTAAATAAAAACAAATTAAGTTTCTTTAAATGCTGTTAAACAGGATTTACAAAAAGAAAGTCCTGAAATGTTATAATTCTATTATGGCCGACACAATCATGGAGAACAATGTTTGGTCATTGAAACCTCCAGGGATATTAATGGGAAGTTGAGTGGAAGGAAAAAATACAGAAACAACTGTAGTAAAACGGCAACAAAAAAAACCAACAGCCAATGGAGTTTCAAAGCAGAGTCCATTACATTTGGGTCTGTGAGTTAATTTTATTACATTTTAACAGTTTGTTTTTAAGCCGGGTGTATTCTAGCTCTTTTCAAGTGTTCTTTTTTTCCTTTTTACACTTCTGTCTGCACAACATCTCACCACTTGGGGATAATAAATTCTACTTAAACTTGAACTTGCATCATCTCAATGAACAAAGAAAGAAATTACATTTTGAATTGATTTACTGAAATGAATAAACTTTGGAAGGACAATTGAACTAAGATTAACAGATGAGCTGAACAAAAAGCAGTTTAAGGGCCTCTTTAAAAAGGCTAAACTAAATGAATGGGCACTGATATAGTATTTCAGTGCCAAATCTGAGAAGAACTGGGAAGTCTGAGCAAATGAGATCATCTACAGGTCAAAAAAAAAACACGAGCATAATTTGTTTCTGTTTCATCAAGCTAAAATATTCCAAATGTGGAAGAAATTAAGTTATTTATTTTGCTTGAATATGAAAATATTATTAAAGGCAGTGATGTTAAAATGTTCCCAGTGAAGTAGAGCAGCATATCTCTTTTAACCTTGCATGCCTGGCCAAGTCCCACCGAGCTCTGTTCGCCACCTGGTGGCAAACTGGAGCCCTCAGCTGCTCAGTCCACCTGTTCCCAACAGCTAAAGCACAAACAAAAACTGCATGCCTGCAAAACTACTAGAAGCCATCACCAGGAGCACAGCGTTGAGGAAGTCTGGCCGGAGGGGAGGCGGAGATGAAATCTGGCCGGCACCGGAGGTGTGTACAGCTACCCATGTTTTTCCACTCAACTGGAGGTACTGCCAACCTGTTCCCCTCCTCTATATATGGCAGTAAACAGGATACTAACAGTGGGGCGGATTATACTGCCATATGCAGTGGCATTATTCTGTTATGAAAATATGGGAAACTTTCCCTGCACATATTAAAGTCCTTCATCTTCCTGTGACACCCAGATGATGGAGGACAGCAGAGCAAAGGCAGTGGGGACTGCACCAACAGAGTAAAGCATGTAGGAGTTTCTGCATAAAAAGTACTCACAGCAGGTACAAGGAGCTTCTTGACTTCCTCTACCGCTCTTCTCATCTTGATCTCAGCTCTGTTCTGTGAGTCTTCAACTGTGATTAGGACGTGAAGGTCTTCATTTAGGTGTTCCCAGTTTGGCTTCCCTCTGTTCTGCTCCTCCTGGACAGAAACACATAGAGAGAGAGACGATGAGTGAATGTGACAGTGCGGGGGTGCAGGAGCACCAGTGCAGTAACGCTGCATTATCAGACAGGGGAGAAAAGAGAAAGGGGTACACGTGGAGGATGAAGGGAGCGGCCCGTTAGTCAGCTATTTAACTGTAACTTTGAAAGGACACCCTTCTCTAATAGATCCCATGCTTCACAGAGACAAAGATGACAGCAGGCCCTGCAGCAATTAATATCAGCTAGAGATGAATGGATGCAGGGATCAGAGAGATGTATCTGGATTCTAACCTACATTAATGTTACTTGTGGGAAAGGATTGATGACACCTGTGGTTTAAAGTTCTGTGAGGCTTATTATCCAAATATTAAAGTTACCTAAAGTCCAAAGTACTTTGGCATATTATTACAAAGATATAGGAAAACAAAGCCCTGGAAAATGGTAGGGAAAGCCATTAGTCATTTTATCAGCAGCTCAACTTTCCTGAGTCAGATGGTAGCAGTCACTGTTGCAGTCTGCGGTTTACCATCAGACCACACGTGCAGCTACCCACCTCTGCTAATTTTAACCTGCATTTCCTTCATGCAGCTACGGACTGTCTGATCATTTTTTTGCTTCTAGAGGTTAAAATCATATTGCGTTTCTACAGCTTTTTCTGTTTTGTTGGTCGGTTCCATGTCTTTCGCTCTTGTGCAACTAAAGGAGCTGCTAGAGTCTGACTCCTTGTTCTAAAATTCCCCAGACCCTCGCTGTTAACCCACCTCAACATCAAAAAACATCAATAACAAAACCTCTGCAATATCGGAAACATTTTGATCGAATTTCAACGGTTTCTCCTGGGGTTAATAAAGGCCCCATCTCTTCTCATGTAACCTGTTGGAATTGCAGCAGCCAATCTATGAATCAGCTTAAATTACAGCTGAATAAGCACAAACTTTTATTAAAAGGAAAAGTGAATATGTAGGGATGAAGGACTCCCCAGTTATATGTATCAAGATAAACCAGGATTTATGAAGAAAAGTACAACAAAAAAACTTAAAATCTGTTTTAGAGAGAAACCAGAGAAAGGGACCAAGTATTTTTCTTTTTCAGCTGTATGAAACAAATACAGTACAGACCCCTCCCCCAACTGTTGCTGCACACAGACCACTAACTGGCATAAAAAAGGCTACTGGGTTACTTTGCTTATATCTGGTGATGGGAAATATTCTTGTCATAAACAAATGGCAGAGGTGTAGAATGGAGCGACATAATTTATCTCGCATACAATTTATCCTCAAGGCAACATCAGTTCGTGTGATAGACGCTTTAAAAGAACATTAAGAGTGCACTTTGTGTGCCAATGTAATATTAACCATGTTGAATGGCCTCTCACTGCTGTGGATACCCCAACATGACAAGGATGACAGACTCCAAAGGGAGAGATGGAAGCACAGATGGGACAGAGAAAGGATAAAAATGTTCATTTATTACATCACATATCATATTTCAGAATAAGAACAATGTCAAGTGACGTTTCCTTTGAAGTACTGAGAGAAGGGAGAGCTCACTCAAAGGTAATCATGGTTTAAAAGTACAGCTGATGATCTATGTGCAGACAAAGTTGAAAGGATAAGCTGAGGAATTAACTGGCTACTAAAATCATCTTTTTATACTTCTTTTTTTTTTTTACAGATATCAAAACAACAATGTTTAATATCCTGTGCAATAAGCAATTATTTCAATATAAATATTGGAAATTATACCTTCAGCATCATTAACAGTTTTCAACTTTTATTTTCATTTATACATTTTACAAATCATTATAGTGTCGGGATCCCATACTGCCCATTGGGGATAAATGTTTCATATTTGTAAAGTTTAATATAAAACAACACCTAATATCAAATCACAGCTACTTCCTCAGAGTAGAAAATCCAGAGAGCGGATGATGACAGAGGTATACGGTGTGACATTGCTGAATATCATCATGTTTAAAAGCCCATCAAAAATCCAAAGAGGGGAGGAGCTGAGCTGTAGATTAACTTCAAACCAAGTTCAAATGTTAATTATTGATCCAACAAGAACAAAAGTTTAGTCAAATATTCATTTTCCAGATAAACAGTCAACTGATTTTCTGTCCCAAATGGAATCCACATCTTATGACGACAGTTGCCCACCGCCTAGAGCCCCCCCAATCGATCAATTTGTAAAGGCTAGCGATGATAGCCAGGTTGTTTACTTCAGCCCATATAAACCCGCCTCAACTGCGGATCAGACCTTATTTGAAAGTGCCGAGCTACTGTGAGGGTGGCTAATTACTAACAATATGTGGCGCTGCTCTGCAGGGGGTCCTCCAACAACATTTCTATACGCTCAACAAGAACCGCAAAGTAAAAAGAGAGCAGGCACGCGCGCACAGCCTCAGTCTGAGCCGAGTGCCACCCACCTGCTTTATACTCCAGAGAGCCGTTTCCATGGCACTGCTCTTTACAACACACACACAAGATAGTTAAATATTCTGCTCTCGTTTTCCCCTTTTCTGCATGTGTGTGGGGGAAGCGGCAGCGGGAGCGACGGGGACTAGTTTAGGTGGCAGATCAGCTATTTTATCATAGTTCCTGGCTTATGGCCGTTAGGGGGAGAAGGCGACTGGAAGGTGAATCAACATTTTTAGACAGGCGGGTCAGGCTGCTTCTGTGCACAGAAAAATAATGACAATAAGGGAGATACATGTGTGCATTCAGCTACAAATTGTTGAGCTCAGAGTTTTCCATTTCAGCTCAGTCAGGCTGTAGTTTAGTTTGGACTGTAGGCAATTAGAGTTGCAGAGGGTGTAGCGATATGCACGCAAACCTTCACGCAACGCAAATGCACACAACTCACACAATGACAAGGTCACTGCGCACCCTCTGAGAGAAAGTGACAGCATGACAAACAGGATGAAGGCCAGAGAGGGGGGGGCAGGTTAGGGAGGTGAGAACAGAGACGAGAGGAAAGACGAGAGCCGGCAGGAAAACTCTGAAGTGTCCAGACTGGGCAAAAACAAATGCCCTGGAAAGAGCAGCATAAAGAAAAACAGAATTTGGTCGAACATATAGCATGACTACATAGCATGGATAGAGGTTAAAAAAAAAGAAAATTTCTACAAAGAAGATCAGCTAGTGTATGCTTGTCGGATATAGCGCCCAGGGCTCTACAGGTCCACCTCAAATAGTAAAATTGTTAAAAGGTTAATTCATTCCAGGGACTCAATTTAACATTTACACACGGGGAATTATTTTCAAGCAGGCATTTTATTTTACAGCGAAGGGAAACATTTTCCTGTTTCTTAGAATATAACAATATCGCATCAAACCAAATATGTGCGAGTATGATAAACAGGCTGAAGGCCAGAGGGGGGGGACAGATTTAAAAAAATGAAATGCCTGCCCTCTGAAAGGTGCGTCCATGTATTGTACAATAAAGCACTGAATACTTTAGGTCAGGGCCATTTTTGCATGAATTAGTTTATCATTGCTAAGATGCTCTGAAAACCAAGGTTGCTTTAATAGCAGTCTTTAGCCTGTTTGCCTCGTTTGCTCTGGTGTCTCACATCTTCCTCTAATGGTGCTCAATAGATTATCTGTGAAGTTTGGATCAGCCCAGTTTGCTGGTCAATCATCTATAGTGATCCTATGGTCATTAAACAAGGTTTTTGTACTTGTTGCAGTCTATGCAAAAAGAGGAAATTAGCATCTAGATAAAGCTCATCAGCACAGGAAAGCATTGAGTGCTGTAAAATGTCCTGGTAGACATTAGACGTTGTGACACAGTGGTCCAATCCCAGCAGACGGCCTAGCTTCTGGATCACTGGATAAAAGCTGGATTTCCAAATGACATCAAAGTAACTTAGGTTCTCTCTAGAGCTGTGCGATATGCGTCAGGAGATAGGCTTCTTACGTCAGTCGATATTGATAATTATTGATTAGGTTTTTTGCTAACCCATATGAAACAAGGCCTTGAAGGAAAAATTTATTTTAACCAAAGTTATTTAAACATGACTTTTAAAATAAGGTCAGCTCTACCGCCTACCTTGCTTAGGCGAGGTCGGGAGGCTAAATCATTTCATCTGCCTACATCCCCCAGAATTCTGTGTGTTTCTGGATCCAAATTTAGGAGAATTAAGGACTTAATTCATATTGATAATCATATTGATAATAATTATATGTCTATTGGGATATATATCAGTTATTTACCAGCCCACTTAACTTTCCAATGATATGACTGCATACAGTGAGCTTCTTTAGCAATATGATTTTGTTGTTCAGGAGAAACCTTTTTTGGTTTTGATTAAACTTTAGTACAGAAAACACGTTGTATAAACAAGGATTGGTATTTCAGTAACTAAATAAATAAGTCAGGTCTGTTAATGAGCTCATTGCAAACATCAAATGAAATAAATACTGGATAATTAATCTATATCATGATTGAGTTTCAAATTTCCAAATGAATCATTAAAAAAAGAAAATTGCAATAATTTGGTGATTTACTGAGCTCCACCTGTGCGAAGTAACCAGCTTCCAACTGGAGCCAACAACCTTTAGCTGGAGCCCAGTAAACCTTAAGAAGTGACTTTTCACATCATGGCCGAAGCACCATGAAAAGAAGAGGTAATAAAACACAGCAGGGCCGCTCCCTTCCCTTCCAACTGCTTTCTCTTTTGCATCCACTTTTTTAGAAAGCCTAAAAATGTCGCTCTCTCCTAGTGTGTTGCTTCTTTTTCCAACTTTTGCTCAGTTAAAAAGTGCCCATATGAAGAAAAGGATTTCATAAATCATTTGAGGACACAAACAGATTTTACAGTTAAAGTCTTCATCTATTGCATGCATCCTCCAGAATATGCTGGTCTGTATGCAAAGGCACAACCTAATCTTGATACTAAACTCTGAAAGCCAAAGATTAAACTACATATAAATTATTTTAACCTGTATGCACTGCTGCTTTGTCTTTGAGCAAAAACAACTCCCAATTTAA